CCCCGCCCACAGCCCACCACCCACCACCCACCCAGCCCGCAGGCCAGACAGTGCACGCAGCAGAGCCGCCCGCAGGGGGAGCCACAGGCCCCGCTGCCGCCGGATGCAGCGCGGTGGAACGCGGGAGTACGGACATTCTCGGAAGTTTCCGGCTGGCCGCCTCCGACCAATCAGCACTGTCCCGGCGCGCCCCGCGCCCGCCGCTGGACCCCGCCCAGCCAACCGGGATCCAAGATCCACGCGCCGCAAAAGGGGCGGATTTTAGGTATTAAAGGAGCCTGGTAGGTGGTTGGCTTGGCCAGGAGAAAGATTGACCACCAGGAGGCGCCTCGAGTCCCACTTTTCCTTTCCTTTACTGGGAGGATGTACCTAGGCTCTGAAATTTTCTCCTTAAGACATGACACTGGAGAAAGGACCAGAGGTTTTGGAACACGGTGGTCAAAAGTCTGAAACAGGCTCCGCACTTGTTTTCTCGACAATTCTTAAATATGTAATTGCATTTTGCATACAAGAAAACGTAAGTTATATAAAAGGCAGTGCTTAGCACACAGGTACTTTCTTTTCCCACTGCTATAATCCTTATCTCTATTCCTGATTTGGGGTCCTCATTTTTTTTTTAATTTTTTTAAAGTTTATTTATTTTTGAGACAGAGAGAGACAGAGCATGAACGGGGGAGGGTCAGAGAGAGGGAGACACAGAATCTGAAACAGGCTCCAGGCTCTGAGCTGTCAGCACAGATCCCGACGCGGGGCTCGAACTCACAGACTGTGAGATCATGACCTGAGCCGAAGTCGGCCGCTTAACCGACTGAGCCACCCAGGCGCCCCTGGGGTCCTCATTTTTAATGCAGGACCCAGCGCGGTCAGGGTTTTGGAAAAAGTGGCCTTCACACCAGAGCCAGACACCCTTTTTGAAACAATGGAACCCGGGGCACAGAGAACAGCATTTGCATTAGTCTCTCCCAGAGTCTGAAAGACACCTCTTCCTAATGTACTTATCTCACTAGATCCCAGGGTCTGGCCCGCCTCCTCTCCCAGACCCCAGAGGATTTAACAGAGGAGGCCCAAAACTTTAGTTCCCCTTGGGACCTGTTAGAAAATCAACAAAAGGTTCTAGTTCTGTAATGTTGTGTATAAACCAATTACATATGTACAAAGCACTACCATTTGTTTAGCGAATATCCATAACAAATACTGTTTAATATCAGATTAGCTTAAGAGGTCATGTAGTTGTAATGCTTTGGTTTAATTAATCCCTTACCTTCTAGAGAGCTTTAGGCTCCGCCTTGATTTTCCTCGGATCCCAGGTTCTCTCCTGCCCACACCCCTCAACTACGGTGTCGTATCCCAGGGAAATCAAGGCACAACCTAGGAAGAGGGACATTTTATCTCCCTTCCCTGCCCTTAGGTGCTTCAGGGAACTCTATGAGTGTCCGGAGAGCCAACGTAGACACAACAGGAGTGCGGCGAGGAGAGGTAGGGAACCCGTTGGGCACCTTAGATTAAAGCTTTGCGTTTAGACACTCCAATTCTCCACCCGTGGTCGCCGTATCCACTCCCGTGACTATAAGTCATAGGTTCGGGAGGCTCCGGGATGCTGACCACCACTCTAGTAACGGGAGATGGCAGGTCACACTGCGGGCCAGCCTCCTCGCAACGATCTCGCATCTCGTGGCATCAACTTTAAGAGATGGGACACGTACACCTCTCCAAAGCGAAGCCTCTGCCTCCCGGGAGCCAGCCTCCGGCTCCGCCCCCAACACTCATGATGGGAAGAACATAGAGCTCTCCCTCCCAGATGGCTATATAGTCCTCGTTGGGATCATAAAGATTTCCGGTGTAGAGAGGAGGCCCGGCTAACCTTCCTCCCTCCTCGTTGGTCGCTCTTGGCGTCTAGTCTAGGTCCGAGTTAAACAGAGAGGCGGAGTTTGGTGACGAGATTCCGCCGGGTTGCGTAGCAGTGGTAGGCGGGGCAAGGGATCCGTCTCACAAGGCGACGAGTGGTTGGAACCTTTCCTCTCCTTCCCCTTCCCCTTCCCCTCCCAGGAAAGGCTGGGACCCGGCACCCGAGCTATTCCGTGGCCGCTGCGGCCTCAGCTCCAGCCGGGCCGGGGTACGGAGAGTCCAGACCGCTTCCAGGGCGGTGCGTACTGCGCCTGCGCCGGCTCCCACCTAAAAGAGGGTGTGGGAGGGGAGGGGGCGATGTCCCACCGGGATTGGGGCACGGGTTCGAGATATTGGAGGTCAGGAGAAGGGTTAGGAGTAAAGATGAAAAATGGAGCAAGGGAACAGGGATAGGGAGGAGTCGGGAGGTGAGAAAGGGACGCTGGAGGGTGGGTTGCGGGGGAGGTCCATTGGAGTAGGGTAGCCTTAAGTGCGGGAGGGGGTCTGGGCTGGCTGGAGGACAGGAAAGAAGGGACCTGGGGTTGCAACGTGGTATTTAAATGGGCAGTGTTGACGGGTTGAGAGGGGAGGAAGGGAATATTCTGGGGGCCAGCCTGGGCAGGGGTGGCGGAACCTGAACCCCCGCCCTCCAAGCGCCATAGCTTGGCTCCTCTCCCGTGCCTTGTCTTTGGCAGCCTTGTCTTCCTTCTCCATTCCTTCCCCCCCTCCCCCTCCCCCCCTCCGTGAAGGAATCTCACATTCCTTACATCCCTTCCTTGGGTTTGCAGCTCACCGGAAAGCCTTCCCCAACCCAGAACTCTGTGAAATTGGGGAGTGGGAAGGAGGGGGCTGGAGAAGGAGCAGAAAACTAAGAGAGGTGAGAGTGTTTTGCTTGAGGGACTGACAGACATCTTCCCCATTCACAAACTGACTTCATTCCACCTAACAACAAGTGTGGCTATTAAGGAGCCACTGTTCATGGGGGATGGGCTGTGATAGTGACAGTCTAATCACTTCCTATACAGGTGGTTTTAGAGACTGACAATAGGACAAGAAACTGATAGTGTTGTTGGCTGATAGTTTCCCTCCAGATAGGAATGGGGTAGACTAGTGTTAGGGAATCTGAGTGATATGATAGTGGTACTACCTTGTGTGTCCAGCCGACTTTGTGGCTGGGCCTGGTTCCTAGTAATTAAAATGGAACCAAGCTTCTTTCAAGCATTTCCTCACCTGCTTTCAGTACTCTTAAATTTATTTTGCATTCTATTACTACAAAACCTTACCTGAGACATAGCTGTATTCAGTATGTTTTCACATTTATTATGTCTCTGATTGTTCTAGTACAACATATTAGGTAGATAAGGGAGGTATCTTCCCTACTTGTCGGGTGAAGACATTAAAAACTATAGAAGGGATACTTGGCTTGTTTAAAGTCATACAGTTGGTAGAGCTGGGACCACAACCCGTCTCCTGACTCCTGGTCCTCCTCTCAGTTGAAAAATCCTGTTTTGTTCTGGCTAAGGAAGCCTCAGAGTAAGATTGTTTTTTTTCCCCAGAGTGGGTAACAGTTTGCTTTCTGAGTCTGGAGCTTGTCAGTAGAAGACTGAGTATAGCCAACAGCAGTGGTTCGTGGAAGCATTTCGTGGAGTACAGGTACATATGTCAGGCTGTTGGGAGATAGGGTGTTGTCAAAATGGAAGCAGCATTATATTCTCTTTTGTGTTATGGATGAGGGAGAAACAACTCCCACCCCCAACCCCTCAAATAGAAAGTGGGTCTGGCATTGCACATTTATCTCTCTGTTGGTTTAAAAATGCCACGCTAAAACGTGTTGTGGCTGATGAGTATAGTAAACTAATCAGTGTGTGTGCCAGGCTCAGAAGATGAAATAATCTCAGTTTTATGTATAAAAATTATCATCATCCTATTCCTTTGTTATACAGCCCTTAATCTATTGATAGCCATGTGATCTTGACAAGAGGAGTTGGAATAGTTGCTATGCTCCTGTGTAGTATTGAGTAGATCTCTCAGCACCCTTCATCTGAAGCCTTGTCCCTCTTGGTTCCATTCTTTTAGTAATGAGAGTCTAGTCTGCCTAATCATACTGCTACCTCTAGTATTCCCAGTTGCCCACTCTGGAATAATTTCCTGTTTCACTGTCTCTTCATTAAAAAAAGAAAAAAAAATTTAGTGTTTATTTTTGAGAGAGAGAGAGAGACAGAGTGTGGGCAAGGGAGGGGCAGAGAGAGAGGGAGACACAGAATCCAAAGCAGGCTCCAGGCTCTAAGCTGTCAGCACAGAGCCTGATATGGGGCTCAAACCCATGAACCTCGAGATCATAACCTGAGCCGTTGGACACTTAACCCACTGAGCCACCCAAGTGCCCCCTGTGCACCCCCCCCCCCCCCCCCACCTTTTTAATAAAGCCTGATACCCTCAGGAATATTTTCTGACTTGGGAAGTAGAATCACACCTGTATGAACATTCTTGAGTATCTTCTTATGAAATAGTGTTTTCCAGTTGGAGGGTGGGATTAGAATTCTTTTTACATGAATTCAGTAATTTATGTGAAAGCATTTGGGAAACATTTAAGCATCATACTGTGCATATAAGGTATCATTGATCTGTGCGTTGTATAGCCACAGATCTGGAATCATTGACATTATTTGTGGTTGTGTACACCGAGTAAGAGAATCTTTCTGTCTCAAACAGTGCTTCTTCTTTATATTTATTCTTGTCCCTTTCTCTGCCTCTCTCAGCTCTGTTTGAATCTCTTGGACTGTGTGTGTGTGTGTGATTTCTTAGCCAGTAACCTCCATCCTTAGAAGTTAGTGCTGTGTCCTCAGCTCTGAAACCTGTAGGCCTTAATGGAATTGTCTCCTCCTCCTCCTCAACCAACTGCCAGATCCAATCTGTCTAGTCTCACTGCCAAGTGGAGGTAGTTCCCCTGACTCACCTTTTTCTTCCTTGTTCCTATTAATAGAGTGCTCCTGATTGTGACATCACATCCATCCCCTTGGCGATGGAGCTTGTCACTAGGAAGG